TTTTACTTCCATTTCTATTTTTTGGAACAGTTTCAGAAGAATAGGTATTAATTCTTCTTGAAATGTTTGGTAGAATTCCCCTGGGAAGCCATCTGGTCCTGGGCTTTTGTTTTTTGGGAGATTTTTGATGACTGCTTCAATTTCCTTAGTGGTTATAGGTCTGTTCACGTTTTCTATTTCTTCCTGGTTCAGTTTTGGTAGTTGATACATCTCTAGGAATGCATCCATTTCTTCCAGATTATCTAGTTTGCTGGCATATAGTTGCTCATAATATGTTCTTATAATTGTTTGTATTTCTTTGGTGTTAATTGTGATCTCTCTTCTTTCATTCATGATTTTATTTATTTGGGTCCTTTCTCTTTTCTTTTTGGTAAGTCTGGCCAGGGGTTTATCAGTCTTGTTAATGCTTTCAAAGAACCAGCTCCTAGTTTCATTGATCTGTTCTACTGTTCTTTTGGTTTCTATTTCATTGATTTCTGCTCTGATCTTTATTGTTTCTCTTCTCCTGCTGGGTTTAGGCTTTATTTGCTGTTCTTTCTGCAGCTCGTTTAGGTGTAGGGTTAGGTTGTGTATTTGAGACCTTTCTTGTTTCTTGAGAAAGTCTTGTATTGCTATATACTTTCCTCTGAGGACTGCCTTTGCTGCATCCCAAAGATTTTGAACAGTTGTGTTTTCATTTTCATTGGTTTCCATGAATTTTTTTAATTCTTCTTTAAGTTCTTGGTTGACACATTCATTCTTTAGTAGGATGGTCTTTAGCCTCCATGTATTTGAGTTCTTTCCAACTTTCCTCTTGTGATTGAGTTCTAGTTTCAAAGCATTGTGGTCTGAAAATATGCAGGGAATGATCCCAATCTTTTGGTACCGGTTAAGACGTGATTTGTGACCTAGGATGTGATCTATTCTGGAGAATGTTCCATGGGCACTAGAGAAGAATGTGTGTTCTCTTGCTTTGGGATGGAATGTTCTGAATGTATCTGTGAAGTCACTTGGTCCAGTGTGTCATTTAAAGTCTTTATTTCTTTGTTGATCTTTTGCTTAGATGATCTGTCCATTTCAGTGAGGCGGCTGTTAAAGTCCCCCACTATTATTGTATTGTTGTCGATGTGCTTCTTTGCTTTTGTTATTAACTGCCTTATATAATTGGCTGCTCCCATGTTAGGGGCATAGGTATTTACAATTGTTAGATCTTCTGGTTGGATAGACCCTTTAAGTAGGATATAGTGTCCTTCCTCATCTCTTATTATAGTCTTTGGTTTAAAATCTAATTTGTCTGATATAAGGATTGCCACCCCAGCTTTCTTTTGGTGCCCATTAGCATGGTAAATGGTTTTCCATCCCCTCACTTTCAATCTGGAGGTGTCTTTGGGTCTAAAACGAGTCTCTTGCCAACAGCATATCAATGGGTCTTGTTTTTTTAGCCAATCTGATAGCCTGTGTCTTTTGATTGGGGCATTTAGCCCATTTACATTCAGGGTAACTATTGAAAGATAGGAATTTATTGCCATTGTAGTGCCTGTAAGGTGACTGTTACTGTATATTGTCTCTGTTCCTTTCTGGTCTATGTTACTTTTAGGCTCTCTCTTTGCTTAGAGGACCCCTTTCAGTATTTCTTGAAAGGCTGGTATCGTGTTTGCAGATTCCTTTAGTTTTTGTTTGTCCTGGAAACTTTTTATCTCTCCTTCTATTATCAATGACAGCCTAGCTGGATATAGTATTCTTGGCTGCATATTTTTCTTATTTAGTGCTCTGAATATATCATGCCAGTCCTTTCCATCCTGCCAGGTCTCTGTGGATAGATCTGTTGCCAATCTAATATTTCTACCATTATCGGGTACAGATCTCTTATCCTGAGCTGCTTTCAGGATTTTCTCTTTGTCTCTGAGACACCTAAGTTTTACTATTAGATGTCAGGGTGTTGACCTATTTTTATTGATTTTGAGAGGGGGTTCTGTGCCTCCTGGATTTTGATGCCTGTTTTCTTCCCCAAATTAGGGAAGTTCTCTGCTAAAATTTGCTCCAATATACCTTCTGCCCCTCTCTCTCTTTCTTCTTCTTCTGGGATCCCAATTATTCTATTATTGTTTTGTCTTATGGTATCACTTATCTCTCGAATTCTGCCCTTGTGATCCAGTAGTTGTTTATCTCTCTTTTTCTCAGCTTCTTTATTTTCCATCATTTGGTCTTCTTTCTTTTTTTTTTAATTTTTTTTAAGATTTTATTTACTTATTTGTCAGAGAGAGAGAGCACAAGCAGAGGGAGAAGCAGGCTTCCCGCTGAGCAGGGAGCCCGATGCGGGACTCGATCCCGGGACTCCAGGATCATGATCTGAGCCGAAGGCAGTCACTTAACCAACTGAGCCACCCAGGCGCCCCCATCATTTGGTTTTCTATATCACTAATTCTCTCTTCTCCCTCATTTATCCTAGCAGTTAGAGCCTCCATTTTTTATTGCACCTCATTAATAGCCTTTTTGATTTCAACTTGGTTAGATTTTAGTTCTTTTATTTCTCCAGAAAGGGTTTCTCTAATATCTTCCATGCTTTTTTCAAGCCCAGCTAGTATCTTTAAAATCGTCATTCTCAACTCTACTTCTGACATCTTACTAATGTCCGTATTGATTAGGTCCCTGGCTGTCAGTACTGCCTCTTGTTCTTTTTTTTTTTTTTGAGGTGAGTTTTTCCATCTTGTCATTTTGTCCAGGGGACAATAGATGAATGAGAGAACAAAATGCTAACAGGGTAACAATGACCCCAGAAAAATATACACTAAACAAATCAGAAGAGACCTGAAACTGGGGGAAAAGAAAGGGAAAGAAAAAAAAAAGACTATGATCAAATATGATCAGGCTGGTGCATAGATCAGTGCCACACACTAGATTTTGGGTGTATTTTGGTCTGTTAGTAGAAAGTACCTTCTGAAATTTTTTTTTTTAAAGATTTTATTTATTTATTTGACAGAGAGAGACACAGCGAGAGAGGGAACACAAGCAGGGGGAATGGGAGAGGGAGAAGCAGGCTTCCCGTGGAGCAGGGAGCCCGATGCGGGGCTTGATCCCAGGACTCTGGGATCATGACCTGAGCTGAAGGCAGACACTTAACGACTGAGCCACCCAGGCACCCCTGCCTTCTGAAATTTTAAAGAAAGAAAAACTTATATATGTACAAAAACAAGGGTAGATAGGATAAAGGGATGGAATATGATTATAAAGATGAAAATTATAAAAGATTTTATAAAAGGAATTGATAAGATAAGAAGTTGGTTGAAAAAAGAAAGAAGAGGAATTAAAAAAAAAAGGGAGAGAATGTGATCAGGCAGAAGACTAGAACAAAGCCATACACTAGAGATTTAGGGTATATCTTGGTCTGTTAGAAGAAACTGTATCCCAAAATGTTAAAGAAAGAACAACTTATATCTATATACCAAAAATAAGGTTAACTACTATGAAGGAATAGAATATGACTCTAAAAATGAAAAATAAAAAAGATTTTTTAAAAAAGGGATTGATAAGATGTTGGTTGAAAAAGGGAAAAAGAAAAATTCAAAAAAAAAAGAAAATTAAAAAAATTAACTTTGAAAGACTAAAGAATTGGGGGGGAAAAAGCCATGAATTCTATGTGCTGTATTCCCCTAGTGCTGGCGTTCTGGTGTTCTCCTTGATCGGTAAACTTGGTCTTGACTGGTTGTTCTTGCTGATCTTCTGTGGGAGGGGCCTGTTGCCATGGTTCTTAAATGTCTTTGCCGGAGGCAGAATTACCCCACCCTTGCCGGGGGCGGGCTAAGTCATCTGCTCGGGTTTCCTCTCGGGAGCTTTTGTTCCCTGCAAGCTCTCCGTACAGCTTTGGAGGAAGGGAAGGAAAGTGGCGGCCTCCTAATCTCCACTCTGGAGGAGCCGAGAACTCGGGGCCCCTCTCCTCAGTGAGCCCCCTGAGAAAAGCAGTCAGTCACTCCCGTCTCCCCAGTCTCTGGCTGCATTCCGTGCTCACCCGGCCTGTGACCAAGCATTTCTATCTCTGGCACATGACCCTGTGTGGAGTCTCCAAACCCAGCAGAGTCCTGTGGTGTGCTCCTGCGCCGCCCCTCCCGTGGGAGGAAGGGGAGTCTCCCTGGATCTTCCGCTTATTGGGTCCCTGCGTCCAGAAAGTGGTCACTTTTCTGTTCAGAGAGTTGCTGCTATTCTTTTCTTCGATCTCCTATTGAGTTCGTAGGTGTTCAGAATGGTTTGATCCCTATCTAGCTGAATTCCTGGGACCAGACGAAATTTAGGTCTCCTACTCCTCCGCCATCTTGCTCCTCCTCAGATTTCACGTTTCTGTTGGTGGTTTCCTTCCATCCTCCCAGACTCCAAGGCTGAAATTACAAGATCTTCCTTTCCCCTCTCCTCCTTATAGCTTTTTAATTATCATTGACTTTTCCTTTACAGTATCACTCAAAACAACCTCCAAATTTTCTTTTTCTGCTGTCACTGTCTTAGTCCACACCTTCTTTAACACTGGCTTGTACTGTTACAGTAGCCTTATCAGCTATTCCCCTGCCTCTGGGACCTTCTTTCTTTAAACCAAACCCTGTAGGACACACAGAGGTGTCTTCTTCAATCATAGCTCTGGGACTCTGAAAACTTCATTAAGTCCTGATTAATTGCTTAAATGAATTCCAAACTCCTGACCATGCATTCCAGGCTTTCAGAATCTGGTGCCTCTCCATCTTTTAAAAGAACACCTTCCCTTCTTGTATACTTTAGGACTCAGCCAAAGAAAACACATACTGTATTCTTTGTTCAATGGCCCTTTCTCCCTTCCCCCCAGCTCCCACTCATTCTTCAAATTCCTACTCCTTTCCCTCCATGAAGCCCCCCTGTTCTGGTTCTCCTTTATCTGGGTGTCTGTTTTGATTCTTATTCCTTTTTAACTCATATACTAGACTCTAAGTTCCCTCAAGAAAGAGTCTTGATTAATAAGTCCATGGACTCACTTACTCAGCAAAACTTTAAGGAACACTTACCATGTGGAAGAGCTGAGTTAGGGAACAAAGTTTGGGTAGACAGAAAACTCTGTGCCAGGCAGAAAAGTGTTGATGTGATGGTTCAGGGAGCAGGGAACCAACAAGACAATCTATAAAACACAAGGGGTATTTTACAAAGATCCATGAACAACAATGGTCAAATGCAACAGTAAAGAAGACAAACAGGGAGAGCAGGTATAGTCCCAAGGACTGTTTTGTCAATCTAGGTGCAAGTTGATGAATAAAAGACTGTGAGCTACAATGAAATACCACTTCACACCCATTAGGAAGGCAATTATAAAAAATAAAAAAAAAAAAAAAACAAACACAAAATCCTGAAAATAACAAGTATTTGTGGGCATATAGAGAAATTCACCCTTCCCCCTCACCATGCAATAGCGATGACAGTTACAATTGGTGGTTAACATGAAATGGTGCAGCTGCTGTAGAAAAATAGTTTGGCAGTTCTTCAAAAAGTTAAGCATAGAATTACCATATGATCCAGCAATTCCACTCCTAGGTACATACCACAAGAATGGAAAACAGGGATTCAGACAGATACTTGTATGTCAATGTTTACAGCAGTGTTATTCACAATAGCCAAATGGTGAATACAGTCTAAATGTCAATCAACAGATGAATAGATCTTTTTAATGTAGTAGGTGCATATAATGGAATGTAATTAATCCATTAAAAGAAATAAAATTCTGACACATGCTACAACATGGAGGAAGCTCAAAAGCATATTGCTAAAGTCAAATAAGCCAGACACAAAAAGACAAATATTGTATGATTCCACTTACTTGGGGTACTTAGAATAGGCAAATTCATAGGGACAGAGCTAGAATAGATGTTACCAGAGACTGGAGGGAGGAGGGATGGAGTGTCACTGTGTAATATGTACAGAGTTTCAGTTTGGGATCATGAACAAGTTCTGGAAACGCATAGTGGTGATAGTTGCATAACAATTTTACACCTCACAATGATTAAGATGGTAAGTTTCATGTATATTTTTAGCACAATAAAAAAAATTGTGGCCCTTGTCTGGTTCCTGGGAAATAATCTCTTTCAAGCAGGATATTCCAAACTCATAGAGGTTATTTCCCAGAAGCCAGACAGGGCAAACTTTACCTTAAAATGTACAAGGTTTGGACAACCCGGACCTGCTGAGTTAATCCTTCACTGTACAGGGGGTGAGGGTAGAAGCAGCAAGCAAGTTAGGTATTGTCTAGATCTATTGCAAAAATCCAGGTGAGAGAGAGTAGTGGTTTGGGTCAGGGTGGTCAGGGTGGGAGGGGAGCACATCTTGGGTATATTTCGCTGGTGTAGAGCCAACAGGGTTTATTACAAGACTGGATATGGGCTGTGAGAGAAACAGAAGAGTCGGGGTGAGTTAGAGACATAGGAAGGCTGAGGAGCAGCAAGTTTGGAGCCCCAAAGGGAGGAAAGCGAAGTGTGGTTTGGACGTGTTAAATTAGTCTGATCTCAAATCCCACTGGAGATGGACATTCAGCAGTTGGATTTACAAGTGGGGAGAGGTTGGAGTTGGAGATAAATGTATTGGGAGTCACTCTCCATGGGTTGAATGAAGGGGCCAAGGAATGGGCCCTGGATCATGCCAATATTGAGAAAGAGTGACTAACAGAGATTTAAGGGAGCACCCAGTGAGGGAGCAGGGAAACCAAGATTGAAGGCTCATCTGGAAGTCAACAATGAGATGTTCAAGAAGCAAATGGTCAACTGTGTCAAATGCCTATTGATAGGTCAAAGAGGAAACCTTTGAATTTACCATTAAATTTGGCAATTTAGATGTCACTGGTGACCTTCACAAGAGCAGTTTTAAAGAATAGTAGAGATAAAAATGTGTTTGAAGTTAAAGAAAAAAATAGGAGCAAGGGTTGGGACAGTGACAATTGATGGCTGTTGTCCTTGCCAATTTCCCCTCCCTGCCGTGCCTTGGCACCACTCACTACCCTGTGGTCCTTGCCTGGACTTCTGAAAGCTACAGCCGCTAACTCACACTCTCAGACACTCTGGCCTCTGCAGCAAGGTAGTTCTAAGGAAGCCGCATTTTCCTTTACTACTCTGCCCCTAACTTCCCACATGTAAACTACACTGTATGTGTGTAACAGCCTTCACGGAGCATGGGACTTAACCAGGGAATGATTAAACCTGGAGGTCAAATGTAAGTGTTCCCAGACTCCAATGGGAAAAAGAACTAAAAACTCTTTATAGAGGATCCTCTCAAGCACGCACCCCAATTTCTAATCTTTCTTCCCTGTCTTGAGATTTCCCCTCCTCTCTATTCTTCCAGGAGCAGTCACAGGTTAATCTTATCCTGAGATTCATCCCCCACCCCACCACCAGTAAAACAATTCTTGAGACACAATAATTCTCCTATGATACAATTTCTAGGTTTTTGTTATTCAGTCAAGAATAACACCACGGAGGGCAATGTGGAATCACATTGCTCTAGATTTAAAGCTTCTTATCTGAGCCATTCCAGGTCTCAAAGCAATGGTTCTCAAGGGTTAGAGTACCTAAGACATTCTGGGGCTTTGTGTAAATGTGTATTCCTGAGCCCCACCCTCAGAAATTCTCATTCAGTGATTTTAGGTGAGGCCTAAGAGCTTGTTTTGGGGGGTCTTGTTTTTGTTGTTGTTTTATTTTGGTTTTTGTGCACTCAAGCTTATGATGGTGGTCCTGTGACTTCCCCATTAGGGGTCTGCAGTCTTCAAAAGTTCACTGTGTCATCACTGGTGCTGAGTGCCTTCATTCTGGGTGATGCCCCATTCAAGTTGGTTGGGCCTGCAGGACGCCATGCAAGAGGTAAAGGGGTGAGGACAGGGACGGGTGATCTGCAAAGGCCCCTCTTCCCTCCCCATCCGGAAATTATGTGTTCATCAACACAGAATGGAAACATAACTTGAATCAAATTATCGATTAAGCTTGATCAAGCTACTAGGTCTGGTTTCTTGGCCGAGTCAAACTAAATTCATTTCCCTGTCTCCAGAGCTGACTTTTTTATAGGCCAGTCACCCAGCAAGTCCTATTGACCAAAAGCTGAGTAAAATAAAATACCTGCCCTCCTGGACACAAACATCTGTTAGATGATATGCAAACTTGTTTATTTGCCCCATGTGACACTTGGCCTCTGACTGCTATTGGGATAGAGGTCAAATGACATAATCATGACCTCTCCTTGAAGAGCATTAACCTACAAGTGATCCCTCCTTATTTCACTTCCTATAACCTCACCTTTCTCTTCCCAGGAAAAATTTCCTCCTTGTACCTTTTTCATGGCTCACTGTGACACTGGTGACCACTGAAAGCTAGGGCCAAAATGACTTTCCTGAAAGATGGGGGAAGCCCTTCCATTCTCAGTCATAGGACAAGCTTAACTTCAACCAGAGCAGCTTTTGGCCTCCTTTTAATGTCAGGCTGAAGAAGTATCTTCTGAGGAAAGATTTCTAACTTTTTAATAATTTAGCAACAGAATGCTTTTTCTCTGTCAAATCTCATACAACTCCCCTCCCCAACACACACACACACACAGACACACATACAAAAATCAAATAAAAGTAATTTCTATGGTTGAAGCAGAGTTTAGAGCTCAGAGCCCAGCCAGCTCTGCCTCCATGATCACTTGGCAGTGCTCCAAGTAAGATGGCTTGAAAAGTGCCTATCCACTGGGATAAGTGTGGCTCAGTGAACTTTCAGAGGTTTGCACTCTGGATCTTCCCAGCCTTAGGTCTTGCCTAACCACCACGAATCCACCTGGAGCCCCATGTTCTACCTGAATGAGACAACTTGCACATCTGTGAAGCCCTGTACCTTCTCTCCAACTGCAAACACATGAGATAGGATTCTCCCCCAATGTAGACCCCATCATCCACCACAGGGCCTGCAGCTCACCACAGCTACTCAGACCCACTGCCACATCCAGGACCTCTTTCCTGCTGGGACCAGTACCACCTGCCTCTTGCACCTGCCCCAGGAATCCCACTCTCCAGCTCGTCTGAAACCTGGTTCAGATCCCACCCCTTCTTCCTGACCCATCATATTCTCTTCTCCATCCTCCCTCCCTAGACCTGTATTTTTCTTTCTTTTATCTTTGTCCTTCAGAGCTTTGCCCAAGTAGCTGTTTCATCAGTTAGTAAAAAGAACTGATATTAAAGTTTGTCTGCAAACAGGAAAATAGGTCACTGGAGGTTGGAGGGTGAGGGGGCGTTAAAAAAGTCCAGGAATCTCCACCAAACACGCAGAATTGTTATAAATGCCAAGTCTTCCTTTCTGCAATACACACCCACACAGAAAAAAGAGTAGTAAAAGGGGTCATGGCTTTTTTCTTAGAGTTTGCCTTTTATGTGCACCTGAATAAATAAGAATATTTATAGTCTCATAAAATTTAAGGTGGCAAGACCCAAACCTTTTCTTTAAACAGCAAATAGATAGATGTAATGTTACAAAGTAATAATACATTAATTCTGCATTTCAAGGTTTTTTAAAAAGTACTCAGTGCATGCACAAAATGCTAAAATGTACATTTAAAGTAGAAAAATACTCTGCATGCCTAAGATTTCTTCCTGTCTTCTATTTTCAATTACTTATTCATGATAACTAAGCAAGTCCAAATGAGAAAGAACCTCCATTCATTCAAACCAGTGAAATGTGGAGGGAAAAAAATCTGATTGTGTTTTATATAGGCATGTGCCTATGTAATACATTTTTTAATGATCAAAAAATACCAACAAAATTTGGTGATATATCATTAATGTGAATTGAGAACTTGAATCTGCTCATGGAAGACATCTTGAACTAATACAAAAATACCCAGGATGCTAAAACTTAATATCAATTAATGTAGATCATGATTATCCATTAAAATGATATTTCTGGAGACAGGTGACCCACAACCCTGAACCCTCCCAAGATACCTTAGGTGCAGTGATCATTCCCATATCTAAATACTTGCTGTCAGAATATGTTGAAATGTATAAAAATGTGCCTTAGAGACCACATAGGAAGGCCAGGGATGCAGGTGGACCTCAGAGATAAATAGAGTCAGAAATGTGAATGCTGCCAGGTGTCCCAGATGGTTTATCTTTTT